CCCCGCGCGCCGCACACACGCCTGCCTCTGGGAGGGAAATAGCCAGGTGGAATCTCACTCTGTTTCCATGGACAACCCGTCCATTATCACCCAGGTGACTAACCCCAAAGAGGAGGAGATCCTGTCCTGCACTCAGGATAAAGGTGAGCTGCCTTCTCTCCTTCTCCATGATTTTTTTTTTTTTTCCCCCCCATGCTTAAAAACGCACGTAAGAACAACTCGCATTCTTGAGTGGCCGTATAATCCCCTCTAGGCTGCTGGGAATAGAGAAGAGCTTGTTGGGTTGTTTTTTTTCCCCTGTGGGATGAGGGTATTTGCATGAAGGTCTCTGAAACTGCGTGCTGGGTACAGCTGGGAACTTGTTATAGTGTTTAAATATCGAGTTCCATCCGTCATTTAAAGAAAATGCTCTTGTTCCTCGAGGATCAGGGAGGTAGCAACTCTGCGAGGTGGTCACTGTGCAGTTGGTGCCCTGCTTCAGGGAAGGGATACCTGTACTGGGTGTGTAGGAAGGTCTTGAAATCTCAGCTGTAAAGATGGAAATATTTTTTCCCTCCTTTTTTTTTTTTCATTTTAAAAAAAGCTAAATTTCTTTCTGCTTTCCTATATCCCTCCCTGCTTCACGTCTCAGAATCTCTGCAGCTTCCAGGTTTGTTGGAAGGATATTTAGGCTACTTTTATGAGGAGGCTCTATTCACTCCATAGATAGATAGCTGTTGCTTGTGTAAGGCATTGCACTTAGGTTGTGTTTTACTCTTAAATAAGATGAATCCAGCCTGGCCGAAGGAGCTGCTTCCCTCAAAAGTCTGGACGTTGACAATTGCCCTTAACCTTGTTTCCTTTTGGAAGCTTGGAGAGGTCTTAGGGCTGTAAGTGGTTGTGTACTTGTGTCCAGTGGTGAGGAAGGAGTGGGTGAGCACAGGGTTCAAGTTTTGAGGAGTTGTGTGTGATTGCTAGTGGATGTTGGAAGTTATTTGGATGTCAAGTTTATGCTTTGTTACAGGTAGTGCTGGTAAATAGGGACAGAAATTGGAACAAGAGAGTGTGGTGATGGTCCCTCGTAGGTACTGTCAGACCTCCAAATGGCCTTCTAAAATGGTAGATGGATATATCTCCCCCTAAAACTGATGGCTTTAGTGTCCAGAAAGCTTCCATTTTTGTGTGGCTCATCTTGTAAGTAGTGAGGGGTTCTGTGATGTTGGAGAAGTTTCTCCCTGTTACTTTTGACTCAGAGGCTGTACGTGAAATCTGTCTTCTCACCTCACCAGTGCTGACTGCAGAAGTATGGAGGTAGATTCAACGAATTCAAAAGCCATCAGGTTGAGGGTTGTGTGAATGAGAAATGATTAATTTTGTTCAGCTGAGGAGCGTTCATGCAACTCCTTAATTCATGAGGCTTGGGAGGTGATACCTCCACTGCAAGGCCTGGTTTCTCTCAAGCCATTTCTGATGATTTCCTCTGTTTCGGCAGGGTGGGGTGTTGGGGTATCTGCAGTAAATAAGGTGCTGTGCTTTGCCTACAATGTCTCCTAAGACCTGGGTTGGAGTAGACATACATGATACTGTGCTCAGATGTTGTTGTGGTCTTAATGGCCTGTATTATTGTATGTAATGGAAGAGCTTCATTAGTATCAATAGCAGCTGGTTGAGATTTTAGTGTGAAAAAGACAGTTGGGACGAGTAGAGGAAAATTTGACAGCTCAGAGTAAGAATGAGCATCCACATCAAACAAGTGGCTTTGGAGTCCTCAGCAGAGGGAGCGAAAATATGCATATAACTTGCATAACTCTGCAGTAACTTGCATAATGTGCATTGTGTTCTTGCTATTGGTTTGTCTTTGGCAGAAAATCATAATGGTCTTCATTGCAGAGCAGGGGCTTTTCAGGCTGTG